GAACATCCATCATTATTTATAGAATTACCATCATCACAATCTTCAAGAGGTTCTATTATTCCATTTCCACATTTAATTTCATGACAAAATCTTCTAAAAAGAATATAATCCTACTGACAAAATAAACACTCCCCTTAAACACATTCTTAGCATCTTTTAGGACAATCACTACAATCACTAGAGCTAATAATATCTTGATCTTCAGATTTAAATTTGAAGCAATTTACATCAATTTCCAATTCATCAAAAAGATAAATATCTTTACAATACCCATAATTGCATTTATTACATCTAGTATCGCATTCTAATTAACAATTATAGCAACAATCATATTAAATTTAATTGCCATCATCAAATTCCTCAAAACCTGGTTCTATATAACTATCACTGCAAATAGGAAAACATATATTTTAAATGAAATCAAAATGTTCTAAACAATGTATACATAAAGATTTATACTTTTTTTAGAGAGACAGTATTATATTGGAAGGTTTAAACTGGTCATAAAAAAATAGGTTGAGAATATAACAGATAATTGGAGACTGAATCCCAAAAAATACTTTCATTATTGTATAAGAAAGGAAATAGTTTTTCTAACAAAGAGTACTAGCTCGTGCTAAAGAAACAGATTAAAGTTTATTTATAATTTAAATTGATATATTAATTATTAGACAAACCCGTTTTATCAGGATGTTCAATTTTAAGGTATCCTTTAGGAAAACATTGGTATTATTTTTTTTAATGATGCACTTTGGTAAGCAGAATTTGGAGTATTAATACATGGATGTGTAGAATATTTTGAATAAGAAACTAATACAGAGTAAGGACTATGAGAATAAAGAAGCAAGTTATAAAGGAGATCAATTTAATAGAGTTTTTTATGCTGAAAACGGAACCTTATTAATATCTCAATTTATTTTGATTGCAATTCGTTTATAATACTCTTTTTCTGGGAGTAGTAGTATCTTTAGGTCATAAATGTTAAAAATTTGTTCTTGACAGAGAGGAATTAACAAGCAATCAGGACATAGCAATGATGAGTGAAAACTTCGCAATTTAAATTGATATAATTAAGACACAGATCCTAATAATTATAATAATATCTTGTTAATTGTTTAATACAAACTATCATAAAAGTTAATTTTTATATTTTTAATATAAATAAATCATTGCAAAGAATAAACAAGCTCTAGAAAGAGTTGCTGGCTTGAATTTATTGATATCAAAAGAGACTCTAAACATGCTAGGATAATTTTATTATTAGCGAGAATGGTTCTTGATTGTGAAACTAGGAAATAATGTTATTTTAGGAAAAAGAAAAATGGCAGTAAAATGATGAGTTGAGACCCAAGTCAATTTTATGATCAAATATTTGATTGAGGAAAGGAATAAAGGCTTTTTTTCAAGAGAATAAATCGTATACCTATTTTACTTTTATAAAATTGATACTAAAGTTTGATGGGAGATGGGCTAAATTCAAGATCTTGATGGCCTCTTTGATCATAAATATAAATGTGGAAATCACTAAATGGGGAAGTCGAGTGGAATTATTTCTAAAAAAAATTAAAAATAAAATAGTCTGACAGATCAATATTTAGTTAAATGTGCAGGTCAATTTAAATGGATTGAGTAATTTTGTGATTAATTCCAGGATATTATCAAGTAATAATATGGAAAGGCTAAAGGAAGAATTATAGCTACTTCCTCATATGTAGTTAAATAGGAATTGACTGGAAATACTTGATGCCTTATATAATGAGAGTAGATAGGAAAAGAGAGCTATAAGGAGTAATTAGAATTATTATATCAATGATGTTAAGAATTAGATAACTCCTAATAACAATTCTTAATTTAATGTAGAAATTTAATCAAAAAAATAGTATTTTTAACAAAAATTAGTTCTTGCTAGGGCTTTAATAGCTCATTTTAGAGGAAATCTATACTTAGTAAGGGAGAAGAAGCACTTGATGTTTGAATTCTCCGTTTTTACAGATTTGAATTTGAAGTAGAAGCTAAAAAAATTCAAAATATTGGCTAGCACCTTTGAACTTGAGAATCTAGACAAAAGAGTAATGGCTAAAGCATGTTGCTAATTAACTTTATAAGATAAACTGTAAGGATTGTATTTAATTATAAATTTGTCTTTTTTCTGCCTGCCTTAGATAATGAAACGGATCTGACAAAATATGTTAAGAGTTATAAAAGGAAACCCCTAAATTAGATCATAATATTCATTTCAGAGAGTTTTTCAAAAATATTATAAAAACTTAATTTCAAATTTTTACTCTATTCAATTTTAATTAAAATAAATCAAAAATAATAATTTCAAAATAATCTGTCATTTTAAATTATTTCAACTATAAAGTATGTAGAACTGTATATTTTCATTAATATGGGATATTTTCTAGTTT